CCCTTTCTATTTTCCCACCATGCCAAGTACACAAGTTTTCCTAAGTCTTGATGTCTTCGGGGCGCCGTTCATGTAACTTCAAAAGCTTAGGTTGCAATTTTTCAAAGGCGCGGCGGACCGGTGACCTTAGTGAGAAGGCCAAGGCCGAGATCACTGCAGCTGCAAACCTGCACAAGCAGGGTGTTTTCCAGGATCGCGCAGTTGGGAGGAAACTCATGTACTTGTCCGAGTCATGCACATGTCAAGGAACGAATGTGGCGCCGGAGCTGGGCACATTGTATGTGGCCCTCGACGGCATGGATCAGGATAGGGCACCATATGTTTACGTCATACATATACTACCTGACATATACATTTCTAGGTAAATACAAAATTATGCCAATGAAAAAGAAACACAATAGAAACACCGCCCTAAGGAATGAACTGTAGAATCGGAAAGCATCGCCCAGCGAAACCTTCTCCCTGGAGGCAAAATTCAAAGTTCCCCGATCGAATGAGATGTTCAGCAGCAAGCAGTTTGAACGGAATTGGAGGCCCACGTGCCATCTCGTTTGCTGCATAGTGCACGGCGTCTGTGAGGCCTTCTATGTGATGGATCACGATTGTCGGAAGAGCTCTGATATGAACTTGACAATCATCATGCGGACTTTGGACCATGCATTGGCTATCCTGGAAGAGCGCGGTGTGAAGGCACCGTCACACATTGCCATCCAGACCGACAACACGACCCGCGAGCAGCGGAACCAGTACACGTTCCTGTTCTTTTGCTGGGCAGTTGGGAAAGGGTTTTGGGGGTCGGCCAGCCCCAACTTCTACCTCCCTGGCCATAGTCACAACGAGTGTGACCAACGCTTTGTCCCGGTGGCAGCTGCTTTGATGCGGAGTGAGCAGCTGCAAACACCTGATGACATTCAGCTTTTGCTTGTAGAGGGAAACTTTTCTCGATTCCTTTTTATCCCTGGTTGCTTCTGTAGTGTGCCCAGGTTTAAATTTGGCTTCAAGCGCGCACAGTTCCAACAGCAAGCACCACCGCGCGGGAGTAGATTCCAACAACCAGACCTAGTATATAGCAGATTCTGACAACCACCGTGGAGCATTTACTATATATAGACTTTTTTATAGGCGTATGGTGTGTATTTAATTATACAGATTTTTTAATAGACATATGGTGTACATTTGAAGCGCCTAGGGGTTTTCATTCGGTTCATGTTCCACATGGTGGCGCAGCGTGTGCCACAGGATTTCGTCAAGTGTGTCCTGGAGAACGTGAAGCCAGCTCGGGGTCGAGAGCTGGTGGTGGAGAAGCTGGATGGGCTGTGGGATTGGCAGAGTTTTCTTGCGCCGCTTGAGCTCACCATGTCCGGTCTAGCGATCCTTCAGCACCAACAAGATGTGAACTTTGGGTTTCGCATCGTGACAAGGAAGGACATGGCGAGCTACACAGGCTATGAGAAATGGGTGGCCCTTGCAGACGAGGAAAACAAGGTACCACGTGTTTCTGCTCTGTTGTAATTGTAATAATTTGCTGGTCTATTTTGACCGCGGGGTTGTGGAGGATTCTTTCCGCAGTTCGAGGCTTCGCGGGCAGTCCATGTCACTGTTACAGTTGTTGTTCTGTGGCAATTCCCTGCTCGAGGAGGTGGAGCTTCACGACGATTGCGAGCCGCATGACCAAGACGTGTTTCTTTTGTGCAAACAATTCATGCACTCCACCGAGCTATCGCAGAAGCCACTCTTTGTTCTCCCGGCAGGCCGCCTTTCCAGCCTGCAACCCTCTGGGCCCTCGATGGTTTGCCCCAGAAATGATTTGGGTGAGCGCACCAGGCATGAGTTCCGCAAGACCGCCCGTGCAATTGCCGAGAGGCCATGGTCGCTCACGGCCGCAAAGGAATATTTGGAACTTCTTTGTGACAACAATGAAGCACAGACTTGGCCTCGCCCACCAGTCTTGTCATTCATCAACACTCCTCCTGAGGACTTGGTGACATTGGTGGATCAGCGAGCCAGGGCCGGGATTCCAAATGAGCTGGCAGATTTCGCACCTGGCACGCCCAGGAGAGTGGTGGTGGCGCAAGCAAAGCCAAAGGCTGAGGGCCGTGGTAGAGGAAGTGGTCGTGGTGGGAGGGGCGCCGGGAGGGGCAGGGGTGCTGCCCGAGATGCTGATGCTGAAGATGGCAGGGCAGCTGGCGATGATCCGCCGGATGAGCCCCCCGATCCTCCCACAGCCCGAGTCAGGAGAATGAAACGCCCAGCTAGTGCATACAGGGGTGAGCGAATGCCAGCTGAATCTGCGCCCTAGATGATCACTATTATTTGTTTGTATATGTTTGTATTAATATTGTACAGGAGCAACCCTTTTTTCATTGAACCGTTGTGTAGCAAAATAATAACCTTGCCTGTTGTTTCTTAGGAGGGTGCTGAATCTGAACCCGCAGAAGCAGACGCCCCACAAGATGTACCTGGTGTTGGCCCGGGAGCACAAGTTGGTCTACCAGTCCCCGCTTCTGCTGCAGCCGCGCCGGCTGATCCTGGTGATGGTAGTGGTGAAGGGGGTGTTTCGAGACGCCCAGCATTGAAACGACCAAGTGCAGCCAAAGCTCAACCGTCAGCGCCGGCCAGGATTGGTCATTTCAGGGAGGCAACAGTCCGCGCCCAAAGCAAATTGGGTTGTTCCAAGTGTCGGTATCAAGCTATTGGCTGCAAGCGGTGCATCCCCATTCATGCAGAATGGGTGAAGAAATTTGGGCCTCGTGAGGGTGGCGGTGGCGCTGCGTAGGTGTAATTTTCGTCATTGTTTTCCTGATAGCTGCTAGACTTTGGGTTGAGCATTCCTTAAGCAGATTGATAGGCAGAAACCCTTCCAACTGTTTTGATGGATGTTTCTTAATTAAGTAGCATCAAACCTTACAAAGAATGAGCCCGCTCGCCTAGCAGCTGTGTGATTGGCAGACCTCCTGGTGTGTGTGTGTGTGGAGGGCACCGTTGAAAGGGTGGAAAAAAGTGTCTGATATCAAGTTCTGTTTGCCATTTCGTTCACGTCGTTCATTTGTTCAAGATGTTCTTTGATTCAGCGTTTTGTTGAGGAAGCTAGGGGGGTTTCAAAGGGCATTCTTTGCGACATACCTGCCAAGACTTCATCTCCCTTCGCTGTAACAGGCTTCGGAGTATGGCTTCACTATGACCTTGGAGCCGTTCGGGATCTCAAAGCTGGTGCTCAGGGCGTCGGGGTTGGATGTGTGTCAGTCTTTGCATTGTTCATCGCGGGCCTTAAACTTCTTTTGGCTTAGACTGGAGCGCTAGCCGTCTTGAAGTACAAGAAGTTGCAGGCAGTCATGCTTGCTAGAGCAGGGTCATGTGTTAGCCTCCCGTCGTCGTGTGATGATGGTCTAGACACTTTTGTTGTGGAGCCCGCTGACCATGACAAAGGCCGTGCCACTGTAGCACTCCCTCAACTCCCTCTTGATGTAGATGGCTCAGGATTTGAGCTTCCTTCTGATGTTGAATCAGGTTTCGAGCTGCCTTCTGACGTGGAGGAAGCCGACCTCAGTCTTGTGCAACATGTTTGCTCGAGCGCCGTAGGGGGTGTCAAGCGGAGGCTGTCTTTTTCACGCATTGCTGCGCAGGACTCGGAACTTCGGTCTTGTTTGGTCAAGTTTAAGTTTGCAGATCTTTGTAGGCTCGTGGTGATTGTTTCATGGAGTTGGCAATTTTCCTTTGGGTGCTAAGTGCTCTTGGGATGCTTTCTCAGTCTTTAGCATTGAATAGGCCCATTGGTATCGATATTGAATTGCAGATGTCGGGAAATTATATCTATAATTTATATGTGTGTGGAGTGGGTGAAAAAGGGTGTGATTCACATTTGGCGCTCAGCTCAGGACATGGCCCAGAAGACTTTGAAGCCTGCCAGGAAGACACCTGCTGGCAGAAAGTCGGCGTGCAGAGGCAAAAAGGCAGGAGAGAAAAAGCGCCTAGCCTCAGAGTCCGCCTTGCAGAATCAGAAGCAGGCCTTTGCAGAGAAGATCAAGCGAATCCTCGCCACCAAGCCCAAGAAGGCAGATGATGTGTTCGAGGTCTTCTCAAGGCCGCGGTTGGCGCCCGTGGCCCATGAAATGGGCTTGAAGGCTCAGTGCAGCCTGGACATTGTGTGTGGGTGGGATGCCCTGGACACGCAGCAGTCCAAGCAAGGCCTTGCCTTGCAAGGGCACCTCAGTCCGAGGTTTCTCATGGCATCACCTCCGTGTACAATGTACTCGGCTTTGATGCGTCTTTGGAACTTGAAGAGGATGAAGCGCGCTGTGCGGCTGACACGGCAGAAAGATGCTGATCAGATGGTGGACCAAGCAGTGCAGCACTGTGAGCTTCAGCTCAATCGTGGCAACCTTTTCTGTTTCGAGCACCCAGCCACTGCTTCAAGCTGGAAGGGGCATGCCAAGCTATCCAAGAAGATGCATTTGCCAGGGACATACACTGTGCTCTTCGACCAGTGCTGTGTCGGGCTTCGCTCACCCGCAGGTCAACCGATCAAGAAGCGAACAAGACTTTGGACCAACAGCATGGGCATCGTGAATCGCTTCAAGAAGTTCCAATGCCGATGCACGGTTCCCCACCGCAGGATCATGGGCTCAGAGAAGGGCCACAAGTTGAGCACTTGGTCACAGGCCTACCCTCGGAAGATGGTGGAGAACCTGCTCAAAGGAGCGGTGGAAGACTTCTAGACTTCTAGAAGTAAGTATGTCTGCAGGGCGACTGGGATGAGTTACTGTTCTCAGTTTGGCCATTTTGGCTTTCAATTAACGAGTGGCCCGTGTCATTCAACACAGGTTGCTTTTGCCATAGTGTTCTAGGAATGTCTGCTGAGGAACCGATTGTGAAGCAGCGTCCGCCGGGAGAAATCAGTTTTGTTGACTGCGCAGTACGTGGGCGGTATGTGTGTAGAAAGTTGGCACACTTCAGCAGCAGTGACTCTCCATGTCCTTTAAACATTGTCGTTTTGGTCATTTTTGAGAAAGTTCGCATTCTATGTGTCATGCTCTTGACTGGCAGGTGTGTACCCATAGTAAGTTTGACAAACACCTTGAGGTATCAGGGCTGAATGTCTTTCTTGGTTTTTGGTGTTCATATCAGAATTTGCGAAGCTATGACACCTCAAGAAGCCTATTTTGAAACCTCAATTGA